GTTTATAGAGGACACGGTTTTAGCAGATCCGTTAGAGATGCTCTTAGGCCATGACTTCCCCTGTGACGCCCGGATAACTAAGCTACAGTAATTCTCTACTAATGATGCCACATCATCATGATTACTGTTGTTAAACTCGCGTTGGTTCGAATTCGCTCCAAATTTCAAATTTAAATTAAAGTCCAAAAATCATATTTGTCAAACATGAAAACTAAAATGTTCATCATTTGACAAAAATTCCATAACAAATGATTGTTAAGGAAAACAACATCACCTCCAAGCCAAGATGCACTATAGCAATTAAAATAGTGCCATTTCAGCTTTTCAAAATGCTATTTTATTTGTGCAAAATCCAAATGGGTTCGGTTGCCCCTCAAACTTTTTGTGGCAATGCCAAACACTACAAAGAATTTAAGTGGCCTAGTCCCACAATTTTTCAAAGTATTTTGGTAGCCCAAACCTTTCCCTAGTTGTCTCTGTCTAAAAAAACAGAAAACCAGAAAAGAGTAAGGGCCTACTCGGCCTCTGACCTATGGCCCAGCCCACCTACTCCACATCTCCTTTCTCCTGTACACAGAGGGCGTGTCGCCCATCCACCGGCACCATGACCGGCGATGCACACACGTCGGGCATCCACCCGAGCTCCGGAGGAGATAAGGCCGATCCCTAGCCCCTGCAGCGAAACCCTATACCGCCCACATCCGTTCCCCCTCGATCCCCTGTCTTCCTCATCCCCTTCTGCTCAATCTCAGACGCGTAAGCTCCGTGTGACCGAGTTCCTCCCCTTCGTTGCCGCGGCCACCGCACGCCCCTCTCCACGCAGGCGAGTCCAGGAGGACCGCCGCCGTCCACTATGTCGTCTGCGGCCACGAGCTCAAGCCGGGAGCCCCCACATCGACCGGATCGAGGTCATCTTCAATCTCCGCCCCGCTGCTTGCCGTCTTCGATTTGGCCTCACCGGAACCTCCCCGAGCCGCTTTGCTCACCTACAGGCTCGATGTGAGCTCCTCTCTCCGTTCCCCTTTTCTTTCCCCTCAAATTCGTCGTCGTTTGACCGCCCCACATGTTGGCCGCCATGACAGGGAGCTCGGCTTCGCGCGCCCGCGCGCCCCTGTTCGCTGCTTCATTGACGCGCCCCTAGCCGCGCTCGCGGGCCTCTAGCCGCGTCGGGCCTTGGCCTTGTCCGCCCAGCGCGCGCCAGCCCCACCTGCCTTGTCGCTCCTGCTGGAAGCCGCAGCAGCTGCCGCTGCTACTCCCGCGACTAGTCGCCGCTGCTGCTTTTGCTCTACTGCTTGCCGCTGCTAGTGCCACTTCCTGCTGCCTGTTATCGTGCTGCTAGTGCCGCCGCATGTTATTGCCATTGCAGGTTCAGCCACCGGCGCCCCTAGGTGCGCCCGTGCGTGGGCACGGCCTGGTGGCCGCCGCACTCGCTTACGTGCGTGCCCAGCCAGAGCCGGCTGATAATTAGTTAGGTCTATTAATCTAATTACCTAGATTTTTTAACTAATAGACACTGACTGGTGGACCCCATCTAGCTTAACTAAAGTAATAAAACCTGTTAAAATGTGTACCTATGACGCATGGGTCCCACTGGCCCCATTGACCAGTCAAACTATTGACTGGGATAACCCAGTCAATGACATGCGGGTCCCCTGGTCCCTTTGACTAGTCAACAGTCTCAGTTGACTGCTGACTGGCCAGTCAATAGAACCCCCTGTCAGCCTCTATGCTACTTTGCTATGTACACTTTGTGTGTGCACGTAGCAATTTAATCTTTTTTTGAATTAGTATTAATTCCAGAATATGTCTAAAACCTTTAGAAATTCATAGAAATTAAATCGTGGCTCGGATGAAAAAACTTTATACATGAAAGTTACTCATAACAACGAGACGAATCCGAATATGCGGTCCGTTCATCTGTTACATGTCCCTAGCATAGCGAACACACAATTTTCCCCCTCTGGTTCATCTGTCCGAAAACGAGAAACACCGGGGATACTTTCCCGAATGTTTCCCCCCTTCGCCGGTATCACCTCCTACCGCGTTAGGTCACTCCCGGCGCATCTTATAGCCATGTTATACTTTGTGGTGCTAAGTTTGCTTTATATTTACTGTTTCTTCCCCCTCTTCTCTCCGGTAGACCCCGAGACCGATGCTGCCCTTATGATCGACTACGTTGACGACGACCCCCTCCTTGCCAGAGCAACCAGGCAAGCAAACCCTCCTTGAGCATTCCGATATCGCCCATTTCTTTCCCTCTCATGCTTGCATTAGAACTGCTACTGCTTTCTGTATGATCCTACTCTGATGCATAGCATGTTGTTGTTACCTGCTTTTATACCTTACCTGCTTATCCTAAACTGCTTAGTATAGGTTGGTTAATGATCCATCAGTGACCCCCACCTTGTCCCAGTTGCCCCGCTTTATGTTCAATGACTCGATCAACGTGATCGACGTCCAGGCCCCGACACCGCACATCACCCCCCTAGTTGTACGACTCTGCAGAGTTACCATCGAGTGCCGAGGGTGGAACCTCTTACATCACTCCTGATGAGATCTCAGTAGTGTAGCTATACGGCCGAGGTCATCGAGGGTGATTTCCTCCTTAACCACTTCCGTTACGGCTCTGTCGTGCAACCCCTCAAGTGTGAACCTCGAGGGTGGATCCTCTTACGTTCACCTTGATGATAACATCGAGTGGAATTCACCGAGGGTGATTCCTCGGGTTTTCACCTTGGTGTTAGACACACAGTTACTATGGTTACTATGACTTTACACTGAACCATGTTACTAAAGACGGGTCGACCCTGAGGGGTACCCGCGCGAGCTTAATAGCGAGTGATGTGGAGTCGGGTTGACCTGGAAGGTGCCCTCAAGATACTTACGAGGCGTGGCCGGGCATTCTTAGCCCTTGTCGCAAGTACTCGAGACGGGGCGACGGGGTCACATCGATCGTGAGTCTCTGCTCGTTACCGCGCGTTCCCAATCCACTACGTTTTGGATATTTGATCTGAGGGGCCTCTGGCCTGATAGCACTAACCATCACGTGGGCATAGTATGGGCGTTCTACGTCGTATACATCGGCCGAAGCTTAATAGATGTCAGCGACTGAGCGGCGCGCGCCGGGTTGGACTGGTAAGCACCTACCTTGTTGAAGGAGGTAGCTAGGTCTGCTCACCGGCCGCGTACGCAACGTGCAGGAGTTTTTGGGGAGATGGCCCATGACCCCTGGGGGCATAGGTTTAGTCCGGCGTGCTGGCCTCTCTATTAAGCCTAGGTCGGGTTGCGGCGTATTGTTTTGGCCGAGGCCGGGCATGACCCAGGAAAGTGTGTCCGGCCGGAGTTAATCGAGCGTGGTGGGTAAGTTGGTGCACCCCTGCAGGGAAGAAAACATCTATCGATAGCCTGTCCTACGGTAATGGACACTTGGAGTTGTATCCCGATCGATACAACTAGAACTGGATACTTGTGATGAGAAATGATTTGTGATGAGAAACGGATGGTGATGAGAATTGGAATGTGTTGACACTTGGATAGTATGGCTCTGGGATTGCTTTCTCGCAGGGAGTCGAGAAAGGATCTCTGGCCGAGGTTGATAACACTTCTACTACTTTACTTTATGCTACTCTACTCCCTCCTGTTGCTGCAAGATGGTGGTTTTCCAGAAGATGCTAGTCTTCGATAGGACTAGGCTTTCCCTCTATTCTGGCATTTCTGTAGTCCAGTCCACATATACAGCCTTCTTTTGATAATGTTGCATATGTAGTGTAGATCCTTGCTTGCGAGTACTTTGGATGAGTACTCACGGTTGCTTTGCTCCCCCTTTTCCCCCTTTCTTCTTCTTTCCGGTTGATGCAACCAGACGTCGGAGCCCAGGAGCCAGATGCCACCGCCGATGCCTACTACTACGTGGAGACCGACGATGACCAGGAGTAGTTAGGAGGCTCCTAGGTAGGAGGCCTTGCCTTTTCGATCGTAGATGCTTTTGTGCTAGCCTTCTTAAGGCAATCTTGTCTAACTTATGTCTGTACTCAGATATTGTTGCTTCCGCTGACTCCTGTGTTTTCAAGTTTATGTATTCGAACCCTCGAGGCCCTGGCTTGTAATATAAAGCTTGTATTATTTTAATTTGTGTCTAAAGTTGTGTTGTGATATCTTCCCGTGAGTCCTTGATCTTGATCGTACACATTTGCGTGTATGATTAGTGTATGATTGAATCGAGGGCGTCATATCCCCTAGTATAAAGAGTGGGTCTATAAGGTCGCTCCTTCGACGAGCTCGAAATGAACTAGAAAAGATGGCTGACGCTATGACATGAGAAATAGTAAAACTGGAAATTGTACGTAATTGTCTAGCAAAAAGAAGGTTCAAATGGATCACAAATTTTCTTTTTGTTAAAAAAACGAATCACAAAATTTCTTTTTGCACTTGCAATTGCAAATGAACTACAAGTTCGCAGGACCCGTATCTCACATGAGAGCAAGTACAATAAGTTTATGTAAGCGGGCTATAAAAGTTAAAATATTATATTTCTGCTAAACATGGAAGGGAGAAAAAAAGAGCCGGCTATAAAATAAACGCAAGCTGCAACACGTGCTCTTAGGCATTATATGAGAGTGGGATGTATGCCATGCATTAATAAAATAACACATATTTACGTCTAATTATTGCACTCCTACGTACCAGCTATAACGATGATTATCATCCGAGGCAATGCATTGGCCATGCCCTTTAACCAAGGTCTGAGTCGGTAAAATCCCGTCAGAGCGGATAGGCACCGCACCGGTCGCCGTGAGAGTCCCGGCCGACAACGACGCCCGCGGCCGCCCCAAATCGGAAGCCCAAACCCAAACCCAAACAACCCAGCCCACAGGCGCCCGAGCACCGCCGCAGATTCCGCCGGACGGCGACGGAAACCCTCGACACAGGCCCCCACCGCCCCTCCCCCGCCGCCGCACCGCGCCGCCGCCCCTCCCCCATTGCCCGCCCGCGCCGCGCGCATGGCCGCCTCCTACTACAACCCGCCGCCTCCCAGGGCCTCCTACGCTACCCTGCCCCCTCCCCCGCCGGGCACCTCCTCGTACGGCACGTACCGCCAGCACGAGCACGCCTACCTCGCGGCGCACCCTCCGCCCGCGTACGGCGGCTACTTCGACCGCGCGGAGCCCCTGGCGCCGCCGCGCGACGAGCTGCGCACCCTCTTCATCGCCGGCCTCCCCGCCGACGTCAAGCCGCGCGAGGTCTACAACCTCTTCCGCGACTTCCCCGGCTACGTCTCCTCCCACGTCCGCTCCGGCAAATCCACCCAGGTTTGACCCCCCAGCCGCCCTTTCGCCCCACTCTAGGGTTTGCAGACTTGGTCCTTGGATGTTGTACTTAACCCAACCTGATTTTTCTGCGCTGCAGTCGTATGCGTTTGCTGTGTTTGCAGATCAGCCGTCTGCGCTAGCTGCAATGAGTGCCACAAATGTAAGATCTCGACTCGCCATGATTAAGCATCGCATCCAGTTATTCTTTCCCCATTATACAATTGCTCTCACTTCCTTACGATTTGGATGAATTTCTGTTTCGAGACTGAGTTTCTGTGTCAGAAGTTATGCTGGACAATAATCTGTCGTGTCTAAGTTCTGAATTGTGAGTGCTGATTTTCTGAATCACTTATTTTCTACAGGGATTGATATTTGACCTTGAGAAGAACTGTTCTATCCATGTAGATCTTGCAAAATCTAATTCAAGATCAAACTCATCAAAGCGCCCCAGATCAGGTTGCATACTTTTTTCTTTTATATGTTATGTGACTGTTGGTTTTTCTGCTGTTGCTCACAACCTTTTTTTCTTATTCTTTTCTTAGATTATGAGGATTTCCCTAAATCTACTGGGAAAAAAGCTAGAAGTCCAAGGGGACGTCCTGATTCAGGTATTATTCAAGTAGCTTGGGAATAGTATTGTGGTTTTTTTTTTCTTTCTATTTTTTACACTAGATTGATCTATCCACCACCATGTATTCATGTTGGTAGTTGGTCACTACAGCTTCATCGCGGTCGCATGAGCAATACATACACTGTTCAAAATCCACGATTCTGTACCAACCGCTAAAATGATTCCCCTCACTGTAGAGCTACTATAATTGTTATCCTATTATTTTCTTTATATTCATATCGAACTACGCTTCTTATCTGCGACTTCATATCCTCGGTGGAATGCCACTTCATCTTTGCAAAACACTCACCTTGCACATCTTTGGCACATTGCGCCATATCAGGTGCTGGAAGCAATATTCACATGTCCGGAATGGGTAATTCTTCACACAGCTTGAATGGTTATCCTGCACAAAGGTTATGGCACACTCTTGAGCACAGTCTTATTATGTGTTTTTGTTAGGATAATCAGCCTTAAGTTATCCCGTGGCTGATACTAAAAAGAAGACACCGGCACTAGGACATCTACATTCTGGAAATGTCATAACACTAACTAATACCATTTTCAACTTGCAGTTATATGGATTTTGGTTCTAGTGCCGCTTTCAGCAAGGTGAGTTGATTCTTGCATCTTGATATGTGTATCTCAATCAGGAATGAGGTCTGTTGGATTATAAAGTAATAAACCAAGATATTCAAATATGATCCCAATTTCAGCTGCTTGTAGTTTCATATGAGGAGGCTTTTCTATTATTTCTTTGATAGTTTCTCCTTGACCGGCTTCTCTGAAAATTTAGGTGTTAGTTTGGACATAAGATTTTAACTATATCAGGCAACTGTGAAGTTTGAACAATTGTTGCAAAGCTTATTAAGCTTACCCTCTTCTTTAACATTAAGGAATTAGGATTTAGGAAAGCTGGTTAGAAAACTTTAGTAAACAGTCTCGTTTTTTCATGAACGAGGAGAGCAAAAATCAAATATTTAGGCAACACAAGTTGATACTCTTTATTTTTACTCCTTTTTTGGGATTAGGCCGAAGGCTAACTTGTTTTTGTATGTGCGCTTACCTGCAGGATCCAGCAATATTTGCTCCTCAAAATAATCCACCATGCCCTACCCTTTTTGTTGCAAATCTTGGTCAGACTGTTTCTGATCATGAGCTGACTGATGTTTTCTCAAGGTATCGACTAAACCTTATGATATGGGATAAATAGTAATTGTGTTTTAACAAGCTTCATGTTCAGTTATGAGGGATTCATAAAGCTGAAGATGCAAAACAAGTTCGGAGCACCAGTTGCATTTGTTGATTTCAAGGTATCATCAACAAAATTGCCATTCTCCCTTATTGTGTTTTATTTTTTTGTATAAATTATATACTAATGCAGTATATAGTGCGTATGATAAGGAGCTACTATGCTATGCTATATCTTCCTAAACGGGTGATAAAATTGGGCTTTTGTTCTTTTGTATTCATCGCTAGTTATCTTGATTGCATATGGTTCATTGAGACAATCTTAACCTTCTATTGTGCTCTGTTTGATGATATCTATCCAACCTTTCTTAAATAACCAGTAAGGAATATCTCTAAAACTGATTCCTTCTTGGTGGTAAAATTATGTGAAGACTTACATTTCCCATTTGTTTTGAGTCCAAGAAATTGAACCAAGAAGATGGAATCTTTCTCCGTTCAGTCATGCTCAGTTAAGTGGGTATTGAGTGGAAAGCATATCCTATTTGCCTGATAATCTATGTTAACAAAAAGCAAAGAAGGAAAAAAAATATATATTTTAATGTTCCAGCTTGACTGTTATTTTACGAGAGGTCACTTGCTACCTATATGTTTTATAATGTTCCTGTGTTGTGTCGTGAATAAATGCTATTGACTTCATGCTACGTAGTGCATTTTGCATATGTAGCCATGTAGGCATCAGCACACAAAATAATTGTAATGAAATGGTTGCGAATTACTATGACATTGCTAAGGCCCTGTTCGGCAGCCCTCCGCTCCATCAGCACGGAGCGGAGCGCTCGGTGTGCCCTTTCAGCGACTCTCCAAATTTGAACTAAATGCTGCTCCACTCCGGACCGGAGATGGAGTGGGGAGAGGGTCCGAACAGGCTCTAAATGACTTAGTATTTCCATTCCTGTTATCAGTTAAATTTTTAAAGAGTTCATCCCAAAGTGTAATTTTCTTCTGCAGGACGATCGCAGTTCAACTGAAGCCCTGAATCGTCTCCAAGGTGCTATTCTACAATCATCATCTGGCGAGGGCATGCGTTTAGAGTATCCTACACCTTGCACATCATTTTACTTCCTTGCTGTTCTGTCTAGTTGCAGATCCTTTTCGTAGGATCATTTGGTTGCTTCCAATTAAAAGTACCATCTTATGAGAGCTGGTGACACCAAATTCGGCACCCCTAACAATTACATCACCAGCTCACTGATGCAAAATGGCCTATGAATCTGTGCAAAGCTGAATCTTACCTGCACATGCTATCAGTCAAGCAACAAATGACATATCTTGACAACCATCAGCTTATAAGAATAACTAACTACATGTCCATATTTTGCATTCATGCTTTCCCACTGTTTTATTTTGCAGTCATTTATATTCCCTTAACATGTGTTAGATACGCTAAATCTCGGATGGGTCTGCGCAAGCAGCGTGACAACCGGTCCTAAATGCAGCGGAGAGCGGTGTTCGTCGTTGGCTGGCGCTCAAATGCTGTTCAGCCTGATGCCACAATCTATGCGGTCCAATGCCCTTGCTCGTGATGTGTTAGGTTATGGAAGGAGGTCTTTCGGTCGCATAACATGATGTAACTGATTTTAGTCGTATCGCCTAGTTCTGATTTGCACTACTATAACTCGCTCTCTTGGATATACTGTTTCTGCATCCTGTATGATATTTCAGCCACGCGTTTTGTTAAGTTGAATGCTGAACTCAGTGTGTTGGGTAGAGGGATATTATTCGGAAGGTTCAGACAGACAGTGGTGTACCGTGGGTGGTGTGTGTTGGATGTTGTAGTTCGCCAATGTGTTAGCTTCAGCTTGTGTGTGCAGTATGGGGCTGGATGAAATTTCCGGATGGGATTTCAACATGTGTTTCCTAATGGACGACGTGTTCCAGTCAGCGCCGTGGTTGACTCAGACAAGGCCTCGGTTGGTTTGTTCATTCTGTATGGGTTAGTTTGTTCATTCTGTCACCTATACGTGCAAATATGAGCCTACATCCGCACCAGGTATCTGATCGGGTCCTCGCACGGCTGGCTGGTCACCGCCGACGGCAGGTCCGAGCTCAACTCGGTCACCGGTCAGCAGATCGCCCTCCCGCTGGTGACCACCAACGAGAGGGTGAGACCCATCTTGGACGACGCAGGCGCGCTCGCCAGGTACTACATAGCTCACAACTAGTTTCCTCACTTCTTCAACATTATAGATCTCATCCAGGACCCATCACTCGAGCTTTCGTTTGCAAGAACAGGGGACTGCAAGCTGCCGCATGGCTGGGACTACCAGGACTGCGTCTACACGGACGGTCTGGTGTATGCGTTCAGGAGCTCTGGGCAGGTCGGCACGTTCGATCTCACCGGTCCCACTGTCTGGGTTAGAATTTTGCGACCGGTGACCCGGCAGCCCGCCCGGGCGTATGAGACAGGTTTGAGACGTCCGGCTGTACATGCTCTAATCAAGTTTAGGCTACGGAGGTCCATCCAACTAAATGCTGAATTCAGAGTGCTTATGTTTAAGAACACGTTATTATGTACTAGTAGTGCTAAACTTAAGGGTGTGACTATATAACATCTAGATGTGACATCAGCAGAACTCAGCGGTAGTTCAGCCTACCATGTTGTTTTCTTTCGACTGAAGTGTTGTTCTCTTCTTTGTTTTGTTTTTTCGACTGAAGCATGACAAAAAAAAAAAGCATCGCTCTCTTATTTGATTTCTTTTCGGACTGAAGCGTGACAGAAAAAAATAATCATAAGTGACGCAGTGCATTGCATAAGAATTGAACACAAGACCTCCTACTGTGGAACAACAGGTCCTGCCAGTCCAACCAATAGATGCTCTTGACATGAACAAACGGGAAACCTTAGGATGTGTTTGGTTTCAGTGACCAACTAGAATGGCATGGGTCGGACCCGTCCCAAGGCCTAGTTCCTGTGTTTGGTAAGTAAGTGGAACAGGAACCAAGTCGTTCCCACTCAGGGAATATTCGGCCCATATCCGGAATGCGCCGATACCTCCAAATCGGAGGAATCACGTGGAACCTGTCTGGGTCTCGCTCTAACCCCTCTCTCGTATCTCTCTCTCTCTCGATCTGAAGAGGAGCAGGTCCGGCGGCCGGGCGACTGGAGGGCGATGGCCTGACCTGCGGGGGCGTTCCTAGGACCCGTTCCTGCGGCGGCCGCAACCTGATCTGCTTGTGCGCGGCGGCGTGATCTGCGGGAGGGCGTCACCGGCGGCCTGATCTGCTAGGGGGGCGGCGCCGATGGCTTGATCTGTTGGTGTGAGGCGGCCTGATCTACTGGGGGCGGCACCGGCGGCCTGATCTACTGGGGGCGGCACCGACGGCCTGATCTGCTGGTACGCTGCTGCCTGGTCTGCTGGGGGGCTGCGGCAGCGTCCACATTAGAAAACAACCTAGAAATTTTGTTCCCCTATCAACCTGGAAATTTTGTTCCAATAAAGGACACACGACAGCGTCCACATTAGAAAACAACCTGGAAATTTTGTGAAACTATTTTTGCGGATTGTGATTCTTTTTCGAAATGTCGAATATTCTTGATAACACAAACAATTTTAAATTTTTGAAAACTATTTTCAAATGTGAGCAAATTTTATAATTCTGAAATTTTAAATAAGAATAAAAATTTGGTATTCTAAACAATTTCTGCTCAAACATATTTTGAAAACATGGACAATTCTTTAAAATCCCTGAACAATTTCTAGAGTGTCGATACTTTTAAAAATTCAAAAAAATTCTTAAAATCAAGAATAAATTTATCCTATTTTGATTGTAATAACAATTTTTTCAATAAAAAAGTTGTTTGCACCATTAAAAAAATGTTGACATTTAAAAAATGTTCATGCATTTCAAGAATGTTGTGTGATGTTTAAAAAAGTATTATACAATGGAAAAAAAATTGTAACATTGAAAGAAATGTTCGTGAAAAATTATTAAAAGAAACTTGATGCATTTCAGAAAAATCACGACATTTTCTATAAAAAAAGTCATGCAATGTAAAAAATGTATGCATGATTTTTTTAAGTTTCATACTATTTAGAAGAAGGGTTTTTATCATTTTTCAAATTACCACTGTTCACTTTTCTTTGGGTTTTTTAAGTTTCATACATGTTCATCTCGATGACGTCTCTCAAACTCTTGATCCAGCAAAGTGTCGAGGGAGAATTTCGTCAGCATGACGGCATGGTGACGGTGATGGTGATGTGATCCTCGCAGGGCTTCGCCTAAGCACTACGATAATATGACCGGAGGAGTAAACGGTGGAGTGGGGCACCGCACACGGCTAAGAAACAATTGATGTGCTTTGGGGTGCCCCCTGCCCCCGTATATAAAGGAGGAGAGGGGAGGAGGCCGGCTCTAGGGGCGCGCCAAGTGGGGGGAAACCCACTAGGACTCCTAGTCCTAGTCGCCCCCCTTCCTTCTTTCGGAGGGGGAAAGGGGGAAGGAGAGGGAGAGCAAGAAGGAAAGGGGGGCCGCACCCCCTCCCGTTGTCCAATTCGGACTCCCCATGGGGGGGGGGGCTCGTATTTCTTCTCCGATATTTCTTATAGGCTCGTATTTCTTTTCCAATATTTGGGTTTTGTTTGGCCAACTCGATCTATTTATCTTGCAATGGGAAGAGGTGCTTTGTAGTGGGTTCGATCTTACGGTGCTTGATCCCAGTGACAGAAGGGGAACCGACACGTATGTATCATTGCTACTAAGGATAAAACGATGGAGAAACAGAGTAATGCAATAAGAACGATGTCATGATGTAGACAAGATCTATCTATGTAGAGATAGACCCCATCGTTTATCTGTTTCTCCATGAACTTAATACACTAGATGCATGTTGGATAGCGGTCGATGTGTGGAGTAATAGTAGTAGATGCAGGCAGGAGTCAGCCTACTAATCTTGGACGTGATGACTATATAATGATCATTGCCTGGATATCGTCATGATTATTTGAAGTTCTATCAATTGCCCAACAGTAATTTGTTCACCCACCGTTTGCTATTTTTCTCGAGAGAAGCCAGTAGTGAAAGCTACGACCCCCGGGTCTCTTTCTCATATTATTTGCCTTTGCAATCTACTTTTCCTTTGCATTTATTTTTAGATCTACTAAACCAAAAATACAAAAATACTTTGCTACACTTTATTTTATTTGTGATCTATTTATTCAATCTATTACAACTTTCTTCCGTCCGCGCACCAATTTCTGGCGCCGTTACCCGAAAGGGATTGACAACCCCTTTAACACGTTGGGTTGCGAGTGGTTGTTATTTGTGTGCAGGGGCTGTTTACGTTGTGTTGCTTGGTTCTCCTACTGGTTCGATAACCTTGGTTTCATCACTGAGGGAAATACCTACTGTCGCTGTGCTGCATCATCCCTTCCTCTTTGGGGAAATACCGATGTAGTCCTAGCCGACATTAGAACACCACAGCGTAATGGTGTGTCCGAACGTTGTAACCGTACTTTATTAGACATGGTGCGATATATGATGTCTCTTACCGATTTACCACTATCGTTTCGGGGGTATGCATTAGAGACAGTTGCATTCATGTTAAATAGGGCACCACCTAAATCCATTGAGACGACACCGTATGAAATGTGGTTTGGCAAGAAACCTAAGCTATCGTTTCTTAAAGTTTGGAGTTGCGATGCTTATGTGAAAAAGCTTTAGCCTGATAAACTCGAACCCAAATCAGAGAAGTGCGTCTTCATAGGATACCCAAAAGAAACTGTTGGGTACACCTTCCATCACAGATCCGAAGGCAAGATATTTGTTGCTAAGAATGGATCCTTTCTGGAGAAAGAGTTTCTCTCGAAAGAAGTGAGTGGGAGGAAAGTAAAAGTTGATGAGGTAATTGTACCTTCTCTCAAATTGGAAAGTAGCTCATCACAGAAATCATTTCCAGTGATGCCTACACCAATGAATGAGGAAGCTAATGATGATGATCATGAAACTTCAGATCAAGTTACTAACGAAACTTGTAGGTCAACCAGAGTACGTTCCGCACCAGAGTGGTACGGTAATCCTGTTCTGGAAGTCATGTTACTAGACCATGACGAACCTACAAACTATGAGGAAGCGATGATGAGCCCAGATTCCGCGAAATGGCTTGAGGCCATGAAATCTGAGATGGGATCCATGTATGAAAACAAAGTATGGACTTTGGTTGACTTGCCCGATGATCGGCAAGCCATAGAAAATAAATGGATCTTCAAGAAGAAGACTGACGCTGATGGTAATGTTACTATCTACAAAGCTTGACTTGTTGCGAAAGGTTTTCGACAAGTTCAAGGAGTTGACTACGATGAGACCTTCTCACCCGTAGCGATTCTTAAGTCTGTCCGAATCATGTTAGCAATTGCTGCATTTTGTGATTATGAAATTTGGCGAATGGCATCAAAACTGCTTTCCTTAATGGATTTTTAAAGAAGAGTTGTAT